GGGAAGGGCTCGTCGTGGCTCCGGGCGGCCAAATGAATGGAAACTGCGGACTTCCTTGATGACTGCGATACACGGGCCCGTTCCGAATCAAATTCGATTCGCGAGGCGTCTGTGTCTTTTCATTTGGACTCGAGAGGCGTAGTCGAGATTTCTGATGTGTTGATGATGGAATGGAAGACGCTGCGATGGACTATCGTGACTCGAAGGGTTTGATCGGTCGCGGTACCTACGTTGTAGTGATTCATTAACACTAGAACTACCAGATTGGTCAGAATGACTCATTACCAAATCCTCCTTTCCCAAATATTGGAAATAGATCCTTCTCTAAGAAATTTTCGAAGAAATTGTTCTAGCAATACGCAAAGTTCTGAGTGATCGAAGTCTCGATTGATGCGCTCTTCGGTTTGTATAGAATTTTGAAAAGTCAACTTGACTAGTAGTTCTAGTGTTACAGTATGAATGGACGGTTGAATCCAGTGATTGTCGCTCGAGTCAACCGAGAAAATAATGTCAGAATCACGAGAAGACCGGTATCCTAATGATTTCGTTGAATGTCGAAGACTCGTGGAATACACTGTATCCCGCGGTGTAATCGTCAGAACGTCCTTAACCGTTATTCAGAGCGTACTCCAGATTCTCCTCCACTCGAGCATAGTCCACGGAACAAACAGGCACGCGTGTCAGCAAAGGTCACCGGTTAACAGCTGAAAGCGCACCGGCGTTCCCCGTGTTCGTTAAAGAAGTCGACTCGTTTCCCCGTCGGTGTTCTCATTACGCGGCGCACGCGAGGAAAATAAAGCTCGACTCGCGTTCCCTCGGCCGCGAATCCTCCGGAAGAATTTCCCTCTCCCGCCGGCAGCTTTCGAACGAGCGTTGCCCGGCCCTTTATTTGTATTCCCCTTTCCGCGTGCACGGAGGAACCTTCGGTGGAGGAGCTTCCGCCCGGCGAAACACCAACGATGCGCCGTTCCGCGGCGTCGCGTTCGCAAAGACGAGCTCGGGGGAAGTTTAAGGGCGCGCGGGACGGCTGTCCGTCAGTGCGGCGGGCGGTTTTTCAAATTAATTGGCCGCCGGCGAGCGAGTTTATCGCGCGGCCGGCCGCGCCGAGAGTTTCGCGCGGATAAGTCCGCTTCGGGACACGGGATTGCACTTTTTAAGCCCCTCTAATTTCGGCGTTACGCTCTCGCGGACCGTCTCCGGCTGCAAACTGGCCGCTCTAATGACTCGAAAAAAAGCCGAGCGTCGTTTTTCCGCGGGATTATGACGGTGCGCGCGGACAGGGAACGGGACGCGGGAATTTTTCGAGTTCACCGTTGGGAAGTATTTTATCGCTTACACCGCGAAACAGGGAAACAAACGACGACAACGGCGCGTCGCAGTGCGGTCGTGGTCCCGTCGTCTTCCACTCGCAACGCGAGCGCTGCCTCGAATCGGTTTCTCGATGAAAATTCGATCGACGTCGAGTGAAATGGATTTCGTAGCTTTCCGTCGAATTAACCGACTCCGTTTTACCCGGGACCAGAAAGGACCGCGGATTTCGTGGACTCTAATCGATAGGTTTCCAGCGGGACAAGGGGAAGACGGGACGGAGGGAACGATTCGTTTCAATTTCCCTAACGCGACCCTTTTTAGCGACAACTCCGCGACTTTGTGATTCGTGACCGAGGGAAATAAAGCGGGGCTAATTAATCAGCGAGACGTGCCCGCTGAAAGGGCGAATTAATTATGTCGGGACGACGGTCGGACGCAATTTGGCGAGAGCGCGACGGCCCGGCCGGGGAAGGAAGCCGATCCTAATAACGAATAAATGACGATGAAAATTTGAAAGGCTCGCGCGAGAAACGGAAGGGAGAGAGGAAACGAAAGGGTGACACGAGGAGCGCGCGCGCGGGCGAGCGGGCGGGCCGGCATCCACGCAAGAATAAATAAATAAATGAGCGCGGGGAAACTTGGAAATAGGTGGAAGACACGACATTGCACTTTTTCCATTTCCACGCTTTGAAAATTACATTGGTTCGCTCCGCGTTTTTCCCGCGTCCCCGTCGATTCTCGCTCGCGCGGCGACCGGCGTCCCTGTAAATAAATATCCGTTTATTTGAATAATTCGTAACAGGCGGCGTGCGTAAGAGGAAAACTTGGTCGAACGGGAAACAACGCTCGGGCGTTCCTTTCGGCGAAGTTCGAGCTCCCGTTCCCGCGGGAACGCCGCGCGACCGATGCAACAACGCGTTCTCCGCCTTTATTAACTCCGGAGTAGGTCGCTCGGATTTACCTCCGCGCGGAATATTACCTAGCCGCCGAATCTAACTTCTTTTCTTTCCTGTTCCGGTCGTTCCCCATTCATAAACATCGCTTTAAAGTTCAAGTGAATCGCCCCGGTATCACTAGACCGGGCAACTTTGGCCAAATTCGAGAGTACAAGTACGTCGTTCGAACAATTGAATTACGATGGAAACGGCCTTTTTCTGGGAGATACAGGAACTAGTATACTTCTACTATATTTTCTGTTCTATTCGCATCGTGGTGATACTATGCAACGTTGCAGTTTAACTTCTTCTGAATGCTGAGGCCAGCAGTCTAATTAACGATCAACAGTTAAACTACCGAGCAGATTGACTTTTTGAAATTCCTCTGTAGAAACTTCAAGAGTGCATATTGAGACCTTAGTTGATTTACAATTTAGTTTTGTTAAATCAATTTCTTTAATCATTTCTCAGAAGAACATCTATCTATTCAATAATTGCAAAAGGAAGATATCAGAAATGATACGCCCAGTAGTTTTAATGTTAAAATACAAGTTGCGTATAGTATTCTGTAAATATTGTCATTGCAACGTGCGGTCTATATTCGAATCTATAATCTATAATATTAAATATTTTAATGAATCTTAAAGAAACTATCCTAAAATTCTTCGATTTTCCACACATCCAAATTTTGCACTAAGGAAAATAAAAGATCGAAGAAATGTTCTAGCATTAGGAATACTATAAAAATTAGTTGCAATTGCCGATAGATTACAAACCAACCTAGAGTCCTAAGGGTCAATAAATTCTTCGATCTCACATCCAAACCTTTAAAAAAAAACTATCCGATTCCATCTGCAGGCAACAAACACTGCTCCATATTCTCCACGAAAATAGCGCTCCCCGGGCGTCCCGTTGCCTAAATTTAACTGTCCCGTGAATTTCGAGCAGCGCGTCTTTAATCTCCAGCAGCCGTTCCGAGTATTTCTAGCGAGACAAGTCCCATCGTCCCCGGGACGAGCGCGAAGTGGTCGGCCGTTGAAAACGCTAAAGACGAGAGCGGCACGGCGGAGGCGAACGGCCAGACAATGAAACGGTCGTCGACGTCGATCATAAATCGTCGACATTTTTTCGTTCGCCGCGCTCGACTAAACCGTTCGACGCGAGTCAAAGAAAGGACTTTTGTTATTGCTACCGGGGCCATTCAGGATTTCGCCGTTCACTGGATTACGATCGATCGCGCTCGTTCATTCGTTCATTCGCTAGCTAGCTAGAAATCGGGCAACGCGTCTTCGACGAGGTCGCATTCATCGGTCCCGTCGGTCGTCGACCCGTCACTTATGGTACGCTCACTGTAGAGCTCCGACGCTGCATGCGCGATGAAAGGGAAACATAGAAATGCATGCTTTCGCTTTATAATGGAAGGTTTGCGTCGGAACGCACAAAGCTACGCTCCGCGACTGAACAGTGATACGGATAATAACATACGTAACAATTATGCTCACTGCACTTTTTCCGCGATACACCACTTTGCGAAGCTTGAAGATTAATATAATCCTTTAGCTTCAGCAACTTTCGACAGATCTATAAACGTAATGAAAGTGTTAACCCTTCGCACTCGGAAGTTTACTAGAAATATTTAACATTTCTTCTCGAGGCGAAAACGATATTCTTTGAGATTAAGTCTTAAAGTCTCAAAGCTATTTTATTCGAATGTGGCGATGGCGCTTCTCTGTTACATTGTTCAAAAGTGCCAGTATATCGGTTCGTAGAATCAGATGAAGCTTATTTATTTCTGTTCCTTCTAATTATTCATTTACATTTTTCTTATTGCCCGCCTGAAACTGTAACGATCGCATATTTCAAATTTATTTTTGTAAAAACAAAGCGTAATTCAGTTTCTGCGAAAACCCGTGGACTCAAACGGTTAAATATCAGATTCTATAGTTTTCCTGTATCAAATCAAGTAGTGACTGAATCACCTCTCGAGTGCAAAGGGTTAATAATATAAATAATTATTATAGACTACTCGCAATGTTCAGACTAATGGAAACGTGGAAAATACGTTACCACTCCGATGAGAGAAATGATGCGTCCATCGCATACTAGTAAGACGAAAGAAACTTCCGGAAGCGAATAGTTTATCGTAGCTCAGCTCGCAGCTCTCTCAGCTGTAAACATGCCCTCGGCTTCGATCGGGAAACGACTTTTCTTCGCGAAAGAAAATTAAAAAGGAGTCGCGCCTTCTGCGACAAAGGGCCGACGGGCGGACGCCGGAATCGGAACGCTGCGAGCGTGCATCCGTCCGACGGCTCGATCG